CACATAGTGTGGTAGATATGTGGGGGCGTGTTCGAACGAGCCGTTTTAGGGGGGTGTGGCTGACTCTTAACTTTTATAAAGAATATCTCTTTGGATTTGAGACTTTAGTCTTTGCAAATTTACAGATCTTCTTTATGCACCAAGAGCTTGTAACACTCCAAAGAGAAAGGAAAAAATGAAATCGCATCATATGACCCCTTTAAAGAATAGCATGGTATTGTCATGGTATATCTCCAAAAAACATGGTAATACTCTACCATAGAACTTCAATACTTCTCTGTGATGCATCAAAATTAATAAAGTGCTTCACGGACCTGCTACTGATCAAGCCCATTTTTTTTTGTTAGCAGAGAAAAATGAAAGTGTCTCTCTAAAAGCATAGCATTATGTAGTAATTATCTTCCCCGTCTGAAATGTCTTTTCATTTGAAAAGTTTAGCTAAAACAATGATTTGAAGAAAGCGTATTAAAACTAGTGCAAAATTCTAAACTGAAAGTAAAAAAAAAAAAAGGGATCATTGTTTAAACATTTTGTCTCAAAAGGCCACAGAGAAAAATATAAATGTTATGTACAGATAAAGTAATTTGTTTTAAAGGGGTCCTATTATGCTTTTTCACTTTTTTAATTTTAGTCAGTGTGTAGTGTGTATGTTTGGGCATAAAAAAGATCTAGAAAGTTACAAATCTCAAAGTCCACTCCAAAGGGAGATATTTCGTTTTTAAAAAATCCCTTTTCAAGAACTACAACGAACGGCTCGTTTGGACTACAACGTTGTTTTCCGGGCTTTGTGATATCACAAAGCGGCCCATTAGAATATCATTAAAAATAATTCCCACCTACATAAATTTGAATGGTTGGGGGGTGGGGAGGGGCGAGGTCCTGGTTAGAATGCTTGGTTGAGTGCATCGGTATTTTAATAATGTAAATTATGTGAAAAATAATGCGTTTTTTGAACCACCAAGCATGAGAGCATGTTCTAGTACACCCCCAAAACAAAATCAAGACTTTGTAAAAGAGCATAATAGGACCCCTTTAAGAAATGTTTAAGCATTCATAAAAGAACTATCAAAGATGAAAAAAACACACACACACACACACAATAAACAAAAGAAAATAGAACAAGGCAAACAAAATGAGAGAAAAAAAGGGTCCCACTTTATATTAAGTGGCCTTAACTACTATGTACTTACATCAAAAAATAAGTACAATGTACTTATTGCATATTGTATGTATTGCGAAACACTTTTGCTGCTATTAAGGTGGGATACGGGTAAGGTTAGGGACAGGTTTGTTGGTATGGGTAGGTTTAAGGGTGGGTTAAGGTGTAAGGGATGGGTCAACAGTGTAATTATAAATGTAGTTACAGAAATTAATTGCAGATGTAATTACATGAAGGCATTTTTAAATTATAAGTACAATGTAAAAACATGTACACAATAAGTGCATTGTACCTACCAAATTATTAATTTAAATGTAAGTACATAGTTGTTAAGGCCACTTAATATAAAGTGGGACCATAATTTCCTACATGAAAAATTATGTTTGTTTAAAAATACTGATCAAACTGATTATTAGTCTATATTCATTGACCATGGTAATGCAAACAGTACAGGTCATTGTCTCACTTGCAGCATCAATACAAGCTAAGACTGTCTCTATCTCTTTAAAAAAATACAAAAATGTGAAGATTTTGTGGTGTAATGCAAGGAATATTTTGCATCATGAACTTCTGGAAACAAAACAAAAAAAAATCCTACAGTGCTGAATCTTTCACTGAGATATAATCTGTTTAAAGATAAGGAAGATGTGTCAGATTGACAGATAAGTTGTCACTTACGTCAGCAAGGCTAAAATTATCATTCATGCAGTTCTTTTTAAACCATGTAATGCAGCTTTTCCTAATAAATTTGCCGACCAACTCTGTTTGCTCACTAAATCTATTTTTACTTGTATTTGTTGTGTGGCAAGCGTTAAATTTGGACCCTGTGTGTACAGATCAACTGCAATGATGTGGCGCCTGTGAATTCTCACAATACAGACAATAAAAAGTTGCCTGCAGTCTGGCATAAACATGATCTCTGCTAGTTCTAATGAAACCTGCATGCATCCTTTCTAGCAACAG